TAGATTTCCGTCAAGGTGAACTCCCTAATTTTCTTGTCGATTGATATACTACTGTATTTTGATGCCCTAATTACAAATATGATAATGAAAATTGCTGACAAAGTCATTTTCAAAGTCAAATATCTAAAAAACAACTTTTTAAACATTTTTTTCGCGTTTCACGTGGAAAGTCGTATGTTCCTACGCAGAGAGGAATGTGGGTTGAAAGTCGCTTCGTGTGAAAATTATGCGCCTGAGTAGGAGGGAGATAGAATGAGAGTAACTTTGCCTGGAAATCGTGCCCTCCTAAGCAGGGGGGTGCGCTTAGCCAGATTGCGCGGCAAATGACCGTCAAAATGACCTTGTTGGTAATTTTCATGATATTTGTAATCAGCACCCCAAAACACAATAGTATACCAATCGACAATAAAATTGAAGGGTTCATCCTTTCAGAAGTTCACTCATAATTATGTAGTAGTAATTTATATAGTAGTAACTCAGAAACTATGAACTAAATTGATCATTTATGTTAATATATTTTCAGGTTTTATTATCTCTGTTACATGCAAAAATCACACTGTAGCGAATTATACTTCGGCCGGAAGTTTTTTCGTGTTAATATTGCTCAACGGTGAGTCTTTACTTTTTATGCTTTAGGACATAATTTTTTTTAAATTTAATATTGCTACATGATAACATTATTAATTATTTCTGAATTTACAATTCTTTGTTACGTAATAATACGTTATACTATTATTAATATAAAAAGTTAGCAAATGTTAGTTCAAATTAACAACAATATCTCAAAAATAATTATCTTATGTTAATCAAATTTTTATCAATATATTAATTGACAAAATCATAGGATGTCTATGGCCAGTGGAGGGAATGCCAAAAGTGCTGCGCTGGTTTAATTATGCATTGCCAACTATTTTGCCCTCTACATCATTGAGAGAAATCATCTACAAGGGATATTCCATATCTAAACCACAAATTTATAATGGCTTTCTAATAATTGTAGGGTGGTCATTATTGTTTCTTATCGTAACTATATTTCGTGTAAGATCGAAGTCTTTTTGATATTATTCAGAAACGTAAACAAAATTTTTTAGAAATGAAATGGTTTTGTATAATTTACAGAATGCAGATAGACAAATATGCAAAATGTTTCATCTAATTTGATGTGCATATAAAAATATTCTTGTTGATCTGTGTACAGAATTTTATACTAACTGTAGACTGTACAAAAATTTATATAGATTTATATTATCTGAGAAAATTTATGATTATTTTTATCCATTTATATAGATATTATATAATTAGTCCATAAATAATTAATCACTCTAAAGAAATAAGTATCATGGCTAATATTATTTATTTAAGAAATTATAATAACAATTTTTTCTATTTAAATTAATAATTATCGTTCCAGACCATAGTGGCGCTTCGTATTTAAAGTAATGTATTAATATAAACGGTCTTTTAATTGTATTGTTTATACACGCTCGCCTATAATACGTAACTCTCTATACATATCGGTTATTGTGAAGTCTCGGTAGTCTAAAGGTTTTGGACGCTCGCATGGAATGCAAGAAATCCGGGTTCGATTATCGGCCGAGGCAACATTTTTCGCAATAAGTTTGTTACAGTTTTTTAAGATTTTGGTAATTTGAGTGATAATTAATATTTCAGATTGCGTTGAAAGTCCGACAATCATATCGGCATGCAATTATTATTTCTGAAATTAAATCATTTATGTGAATATACGTAATAGTTCAACATCTTAACATTCAGACTGTAGTGGCGCTTCGTATTTAAAGTAATGTACAATATTTAATAATTACGTCTTATTTTATGAAATAATGTAAAAATAATATAAAATTAACTACTTCTATATGATAGCAATATGAATTTCAAATAATAATAATGATAAATATTTTAGACAAGAAAAAAGAAACTTAGTTATTATATATTTAGTTTTAGTAAATGATTTAATTGTATAAATAATTATGTTGTTCAAAAAATTGCGTTGTTTGAAAAATAAAGTAATCAATTAGTTTTGAATGTACGTGCATTAATTTAAATTTATGAAACATTGAAAAAAAATCATTATACATTGTATTCTAACAATTAACTCAAGACGAGATATAAAGACGAAGACAAATGGAGGGGAGGGAAAGAGAGGAACAGAACTGAATAAATACAGAGAACTGAATAAATACACATGCAATTCATCAAATATGTTTCCATTGCCAATGTATTATTCTTGTATATAAAACACAAGTAAGAAATAAATTTAGAAAAAAATATTTGTTGATGTATGTAATGAAATTTTCAGAACTATTTGTTTATGCGTATTTATTGCGTGTTTATGTATGAATATTTATTGCTTGTGTGTATAAACGTATAATGTATATATTAACATTAAAACATTAAGTTAAAAGCTTTTATAAGTATCTTATATATATATAATATAATTCTGACCACATTCTTTAAATAATTTTTTTAAATTTAATCACGACTATTTTTTTGTTCTTCCATTAAAAAATATAAAACAAAAATTTTTATAATTTTTTAAATTATATACGGCTCTAATCTTTTAGAAAATTATTTGAAAATTGTTTATACAAAACTTTTTTTTTTTCATATTCAATGTTATAAAATACGAGTTATAATACTTATGTGTGACTGTCCAAATTTCACCTCTTTTTTTGGCAATGTTGTACACTTTACAATATGCAGTGAACAATGTCCCCGGCAGTCAGAATCGAATATCTTAGAACATTACCGTAATCTAGCTGGGAGATAGCACCTTACAGTAATAACACAACGACAAGGAAACCAAGAAAATCGACTTGCGCGAACATAAATGAAATAAGCCAAACTGTTTTCGCGATTTGTTGCAACCTTTTTGCGCTCAATATTTTACTATTAGAATCACGTTTGAGAGCCAAATTATACGCAAGCTAAATGTATTCTGCATGATCCTTATTGAGCGTAGATATAGATCATAGTTTCCCAACCTTTTTTAGCTCACCGCTCTTTTTTCAAAATATTTTTTGTTTAGCACCTTCTTGACCGTAATTGGTAAATTCTCTCTGAACTCTAAATGAAGCAATAAAACAAAAATTATACAGAATTAAATAAAAAATATTAAAAAATTATAATATAGTATAAATTTATAAATATTATAAAATTACCACATTTTAATGAGAAGTTTGGGCTTGATATGACGCTAATAATCTGTCTACATATGTTCCATTTTTATCAGCAGCATTCTTAAATCTCTGCGCTCCATTATTTATATTAATTTGTTTTTTACATTAGTTATTTACATTAGTTTCCATTAATTGATTCTTATTTTTCGTCAAAAGATTTGTAATCGCAATAAATCCATATTTTTTCGGTGCACCTTCGCGTTCTTTGTCATGCACGTCGAAATTACCATTGTTTAATCGCCAAAACCAATTAGGTCTTTACAAGTAGTTTTCGATAGAGCATGCTCACCGTAAATATAATATCTACGTGTAAACGATGCATTTCCGCAGCTTTTCTTTATGATGAAAATGAAATAATGAAGTAAAACTTCCCGTAAATGTTGCTTTTTTAGAATAAATTCCGATTTTCAACACAAAAAGTTACTCTTGTTTATGCTTCAAATGAATACCAACTACAAAAGGGCTCAAAAGCTTGAACACACACCTTTCAAATACATGTATTGTCGTTTTATCAACATTTACGGGAAGTTTTACTTCATTATTTCATTTTCATCATAAAGAAAAGCTGCGAAAATGCATCGTTTACACGTAAATATTTACGGTGAGCATGCTCCATCGAAAACTATTTGTTAAGACCTAATTGGTTTTGGCGATTAAACAATGGTAATTTCGACGTGCATGACAAAGAACGCGAAGGTGCACCGAAAAACACACAAGCAGCTACTAACGATATCATTCTACAATGGGCGGAAACTTATTCCCATACCAATATATATCTCAAACGAATTTTTAGTAAAATAAAATACAATCAAAACAGTAGAGTGAACTGTTCAAAAACAGAAATGGTTAACGAGGAAATCACTAATTCGACTTAATGTCTTATCCCTTTATTATTTGTCACAATTTATTAATCAAAACATCGAAATAGAAATATCAAATTTGATAACTTTTTTTCTATAAAATTATTTTATGATAAAATTATTTTTGATAAAAATTTTAAATAGGATATATGTGTTCATGTGT